ATGTGGTGTGCAATCTGTATATGCAACTTGGAAATCCGTAGGATTTATTTGACAAAGATATGAATTTTTCTCAATTTTTCGAGCCTTCATACGACTCAGATTCTGGATGCAGACTTACGCGCTGGGTCGAAGTTGATGCGAACTTTTGCATACCATCTTGTAGAGCTTGCTTTGCTTTATCGAAAGGTATCTCTGTCGGATGTACATGCTTCAAATTTCGTCTAAAAATGTCCGAGAACTTTCGAGCCAACCTAATAGTTGATTTGAACTACTCATATGTAAAATTTGCAAAATTCTCAAAAGAGCCCAACTTACAGGCAAAGATTACTTGGTAACCTTCTGAAATTAAGTACACCATTAAATGCATCTTGAAGAACTGAGCTCTTCCTAAAAAACTCATGTACATTTATTGCCACCAACGTTTACACTATTTTGATGACAGGATTCGCCAATATCGGTACAACGTTCACTACCACTACAGAAGAGTGTCCACATAAAACTTTACATTAAGCTCAGGAAAAGTGTTCTCTATATGTCAGAGGCTAAAGAGGCTGGATAATGACGACTTTGACTGCCCGGATTTGTTAAATTAATACGGAAAAGTCCACAAATTTGTTCAAAGAGTCATACAGCAGACGATGGACAAAGATTTGGAATCAGCGTTTCAAGACGCGTGTAGTGGTATACATTTCAATGCAAAAAGCTACTGTCACCAAGTATCTTTTCTTTGCTAGGCAAATTTTTGGAGTTCGGCTTCATCAAGTTCTTTGAAAGCTATGAAGTCTGGGATTTATACATAATTAGAATGCCTTGCTCTACCGGAGGGTGGCCAACGTATCCTTCGTTTATGATATTGTATTTATATGGATGATGTTCTAAAATAGGAGCAGAACGTTGCACCCACCCTTATCATCCGGTCATCTTTATCAAACCCTTTCGTAATTCAAATTTTTTGCAAACTCAAACAAAGAACCTGTTTTATTTCAGTATGCGCATAAGGCCATCTTTGGGCTCTGTCTACGAAATTTAAAGGGCACCGTCCACCCGAAATGGAGGTTGGCGAGATTATGATGGCATACTAGTGTGGGCCCCCCTACTAGACAAACCTCCAAGCTTCGCCGCAAAAGACTGCTTCTGGAGCGAGAAATCCGCTCCGGAAGTACAAAGTAGGCGGGGCGGCCCCGGTCGCCCCGCCCACTTGCATGCTTTATCTCGCCTGCGCTTGTTGCAGAGGTTTCTCGAAACGGATTTTTGGAGGTTTTGCGGATTTTCGACTCCATATTCGGAATCAGGGCTTTCAAAAGGCTTGAAGGCGACAAAAACATTGAACTCGAGATTTTGGGTGGACGGTGCCTTTAACGTGAAAGTATTCATCGATGTATTCCGTCCGGAAAAAAAATCGAGGATAACTATGCGAACATTTGCAAGAATAACGGTGTAGGAAAGTGGCAAATAAGTAAGCTTGAATGTTCGTGGTAATAGTATAAGGTGCCTGTTTTCATTAGAAAATCGAAAACTCAAATGAGCCTCAATTTGAATTAATTTAATTCCATATTCTGTGCCATTTGATGATCAGAGTAGCCACTACCGAATTAAACATGTTAAATTTGAATCATGTTATAAGAGAACTTTCCTTAGATTCTGTCCTTTATGAAATCAGTCTTAAAGACAAAACCAGCTGGCCCGATTAAGCGTTTGTGCAAGAAGCAACCCATAAAAATCTGCCGAAGTCTTCTCTCACAACTTGGTCCCCGATAACGGAAGAGTTGCATGGTTTACATGGCGTCGAGGTGAGAAAAAAAACAACGGACATCCATCAGCAAACAAACGCCACGGACCAAGTGATCAGCGGACATGTGGAAGATTTCGCGTGGGAAGAAGAAGGACATCTATCATTCATCTCTGATAGTGTGGGAAAAGTAAAGAATTCATGAGAAGCAATAAGGGTGCAGGGCTTTTCGCACGATCATAATTCTTTCCGCGCAGGACCGCCGTAGCGCGCGACACACCCTGCGGCGGCTTTTGCCTAAGCGAAGCTAGGGGAGGAAAGAGTTGCGGCGTGTGTGACGTGTTGAGACAAGTCAAAATCAGGGTAGCGCTGGGTACCGTCCGTGCGAAAAGACCGTCTCCCAATCAATAATTCTAAGGACTTGTAGCAGAGCCCGGCGGGGTGGCGCTTTCAGCTGGATATCGTTTTTGGCCCGAAAAAGCAAAGGGGAAGTCGTATTTTGGGGTCCGGGGCGAAGCCCCGGATCCTAAAATACGACTTCCCCTTTGTTTACCGATAAATAATGCACATATCATTCTTTATTCATCATTCCTTGTTGATGCAACTGTCCTATGAACTTAGATTCCAGCAATGTGAAGATTCTGTGCTTCGATCGCTAGCCTGCCCGCAGGCGGGAATTCAAATCGCAGTTCTTGTAAGAGGAAAATAACAAAATAGGCTCGTTTTCAATGCACAAGTAACGATATGACACCAAATTTGCTGTATTGTTGGAGGACCATGAGCACAAAAAAAGTATGAAGAATTATGAGAAACTTATGTGAATTTAAAAAATAGTAAGTGTTTTTCGAAATTAGGTGGCTCCCGCGCCACCTGGGGTGGCTCCCTGCTTCCCCTCACATAATTTCCCGGATTTCTTTACATAAATGTGGACTAGGTCGAGAGTATTACTATATGTTCAAATTCGCTTCCAAAACCACCAGGGCACCTGCTTCGATACAGTCCCAAATAGGGTTCACAGCGTTATGATCGGCTCGGGAAGCGCGCTCCAATTGCAGTCGGTTATTGTAAATTGTAAAGTTTCGCAGCTGACTAATAAATGAGTAGTATCTTAGATATATAAACGTCAAAGTTTGTGCAAATCTTGACCCTATGTTTTTTTATAGATTCCTTTGCGGATGAACCCATTGAGCTGAAACCTTGATGACCCGGGCTGAACCAGGAAAGCCAGGTAGTACTACTATAATAAGCGCTGAGGCCGCCCATCTTATTATTTGTGTATATCTGTTTGTCAGGGACTTACGCGGGTCAAAAATAGGGTCAAAGGGGAAGTCGTAAATTTTGGCTTCAAAGAGGATATCGTTTTCAAAATTATGAAATGCCACCTCCTGCAGGGCCCTGACTTGTAGTAATTGTTTGTACATAGGACATGCACCAAAAGTTTCAACTTTTCCTTCAATCTCACAGAATATTTGCATGTTTATTTGATGCACTTTCTATAAATTTTGAAGCAAAAAAGACCCGCATGTTACATCAATACAAATATGAGAAGAAACTGAAGTCTTTTTTATAGCTGTTTCTTTATTCTTTATGTATTGATCGAATTTATTCCTTGTTTTGACCAACTTTTAAGAGAAGGCATTCTAAACGCCAATACAATTTCAATAAATTGAAACGCCTAGTTGATAAGCAAAATTTCGAAGGACTTCATTTACATAAATCGCTCCATCAGTATTCGTTCAATCTCTCAGAGGCGCAATGAAAAGTTTGAAGATAAATTCCATTTTGATTTCTGAGCCGATTACAGCTCTCACTTCTTTTTTACTTAGAACATAGCAAAAACTGGACCACAGCTTTCCAGGAGAAGTTAAACCAGTTCATAAGACCACACCCCTATAGAGTATCACAGTTCAGAGCCTATCCGTCTTCCATCAAAACGAATAATTGACGAGGACAAAGACGACAAAGTGTGTTCTCACACATTCATTGCTTCCGTTACGATGATTCAATTGTTAAAATGTTCACAAAACAAACGAACTTGATGAATAGAAGCAATCAGGGAAGCACGCAGGTGTCGGTGTCCATCACAGCTGTCCCTCCTCTTGGCGCGAGTTGCAAAGCTCGCTGGAGGACAGTGACCCCTGACGACCGCTTCCAGCAGGTTGTACCCTGCAACCTCTTCCCCTCCCCCCCCCCCCTTTCCATGTGTTTATAGTAAAGAATAAATATCAATATATTAGACTTATGAAAATGCCCCCTATTCATCAAGTAAAGGCAAGGAAAGCCTTTATCCTGACATGGAGGTCCCGGGAAGCTTTGAATTTACCCCTCCCTCCCTCTTTTTTATTTTCAAAAAAATTTTTTTTAAGATTTTTTACCCCTTAATTTTTAGAATCTAAAAATTACTTTTGAAAAGAGAATTAATTTTTTCTTGGGCAAATTACCCCCCCCCCTTTTCCCTCTTCATCGCCACGGAACCGTCGACGTGCACCAACGAACGAATTAGTGAGTATTTTTTCTTACGCACATCACATTGTTCTATCAAAATAATGTCTAATCCTTTCAGAAATTAAAGTATGTACATAATACCCATAATTTTTTTCTCTTTCATTTTGCAGCAGCAAAATTTTTGAAACCGTAATTTATTTACCTCTTCCACTTCTTTTTTATAAATGTCATCCGTGTTTTACCGAGAGCCGAGATTCTCAAAAACTTTCATTTTTCTTTTTTAGTTTTTTAGGGTTTATGTAATAAACAAAATCCATAAATACTCTTCAGACTTTAATCTTGTTCGCTTAGCTAGCTCAAAATGAAACCTAAGGTATACCTAAGCCCCACATAAATATTTTTATTTTTGTTAGGCGCTTCCATAAATCAAATCGCTATTACACCTAGCGTAATTTTTTACTTTTCCATCCAAAACACTTCGTTCTTGCGTGACCCTCTATCGCTGCACTTGCCGTTTAGTCAAAGCAACTGTTATAAGCATTAAACAAAGCAAATAAGGCGACGCGCATTACATAGAATATTTATGACATCCCCCCACTATTTTCCAATGGCTGGGACCCCACAAACTGTGGCTTACACTATGATTACAACACTATTTTCCGATACAGTGCATTAAACAGCTGCAATAAACATAATTCAAAAAAAAACAACAACAACAACCAGTAATAGAGTAAACATAGAGACATCAATAAAGCCGCTATATTTATATTTTTTCCGCGGGCTTTGCACGACTCTTTAAGAGAGTCGCAATGCAGATTTTCTAATTTCACCTGCGAGATCCCAGGCTAAATTCCTCAGAAAGAATTTGGCGAAATTTTCTGGGAGCGGGGCAGCTCGTCCATAGTTGACCAAGCGCAGTGTGCCCATGTGCAGCCGCAGCTAAGGATGGTCCGCGCGCCACAACCTGTCCGAACGGAAGATGTTGAACCTCTTTTTCTTGCCTGACCTCATAGGGGCTGAAAAAATTTTTTTTGGGTTTCGAAAATAATTTTTCGTGTTTCACTTGAAAATAAATAAAATTCAGAAAAGAAAAAACTCACCAAAGAAAAATTCTCCCTGTCTGTGGTCACGCGGACCATACCCTCGCCGTGTTTGATGATTTCTATGAACGTTTCCATCACGTTCCCCATTTGGAGGAAGTGGTCGAGCAGTTCCTTTTCTTCCTTCGGGTACAGCGCACTATACTTTGGAATATTCGAGAATTTTTTCGAATAATCGAGTAATCGAAAAAATTCGAAAATGAAAAATATCGAATAACCGAATTTCGAATATTCTCAAAAACAAAAAATGTCGAATATTCAAATATCGAATATTTTCGAAAAACAAAAATGTCGAATACTCGAACATCGAATATATTTGAGAAAAAAATCCGAATAAACGAATATTTTGCATCGATTATGTCGAATATTCAAACGAAATTTTTTCAAATTAACACAGTGAGGGACCCTATGCAGTGGGCAACTTGGACAACAAACGATGGTGGCTGGTATAGCAGTCAAAATTGCGACGCTGTCATGTAGTTATTCGATTATACGAAATTGTCGAATAGTCGAATAACTTCTGAAAATAAATATTCGAATGTTCGAATATTTTCGAAAATCAAATTTTCGAGTAACTGAATAATCGAATAAAATCGAAGTTGACAAATTTCGAATAAGCGAATATCGATTATATCCGAGATTTTGAAATTTTCGAATAATCGAATTTCGAATAAATTTTATTCGAATACTTTATTCAAATACTCGAATATTTATTCGATTCGGTCCAAAGTATACAGCGCACGGATCTTGGCCCGGTGCGCCTTGAGGGCCTTGGCCAGCACCGTCCGCAGGTCCCTCACTATTCGGGTGAGATTCTGAATATACGTAATTTAAGAAAAAAATTTTTCTAAAAAATTGAATTAAAATTTTTTTTTTGGATCAAACTTAATTTTCTAAATAAATATACCTTTTCATGTTCCCTGCGCAGGAACTCCGACTCCCTGAACTGGTTATCGCGCAGCCCGCTGCTCCACTGCAGGGCTTGGACTTGTCTTCAAGCCACCTTCAGCTTTTCGGGTCCATCACAGCTGTCCCTCCTCTTGGTGCGGGTTGTAAACCTCGCTGGTGGACAGTGACCCCTGACGACCGCTTCCAGCTGGTTGCACCCTGCAGCCTCTCCCCTTTTTTCCCTTTCCCCTGTAAATATGCCAAATAATAAATATTAGTAAATTAGACTTATGTAGTAACTACCCGCTACACATCAGGTAAAGGCAAGACCAGCCTTCTAACCTGACATGGAGATCCTGGGGAGATTTGAATTTATCCCCCCCCCCCCTGTTTCAAAAAAAATTTTCTTTCTATCCCCCCCCCTAACTTTTAGAATTCTGAAAATTACTTTTGCAAAAAGAATTAATTTTCTTTTGGGCGAATTCCTCCCCCCTTTTCCCTCTTCGTCTCCAGCGTCGACGGACACAAACGAAAGAATTAGTGAGTGTTTTTTTAACGCACATCGACACTGTTTTATCAAAAGAATATCTAATCTTGAAAATAAAATATGTACAAAAAATGACCTAAATTGAAAAAAAGTCCTGCGAACAGTCCCAACAAAATTTTCCAAATCTAGGTTTATAATTATAAAAGAAACTAATCCGAGAACCGAGAACCGAGACCCGAGAACCGAGACCCGAGAACCGAGAACCGGGATTCCGATTTTCTTTTACGCCCTGTTTCTTTCTGAAACCGAAAATTTTTATTCTCTTCCACTTCGTCTTTGTAATATAATCCCTCCTATTTTTTCCCGAAAACCAAGATTCGAGAACCAAGAACCGAGATCTGAGAACCAAGATTTTCGAAAGTTTTTATTTTCCTTTCTTCTTTTAATTTTTTTAGGCCCAAGTAATAATCAAAAATGGTAATTACGTTTCAGACTATGGACTTGTTCGCTTAGCTACCTCAAAATCAAACCTAAGGTATACCTAAGCCTTACATAAATATTTATATTTTTGTTAGGCGCTTCCATAAATCAATCGCCATTACATCTAGCGTGGAATGCTGACCTCCAGAATAATTTGAATCGCGCAACTGTCCACTCGCGCTTATCACTTAGGCAATTTGAGAACGCAACTGTTATAAGCATTAAACAAAGCAATAAATAAGGCGGCACGCATCAACAAGGAATATTTATGACCCCCTGATATTTTCCAATGGCTGTGACCCCGCCAACTGTGGCTTACGCTATAATTACAACATTATTTTCTGGTACAATAAATTGAACACTTGCAATAAATAGTTCAATCAAAGAAAATACAGACAAGCACTAAAAAAGGCTAATACAGGCGTTCGCGATACGAATAACCTTTACAGCGGACCTTGCACAATTCTTCCAGAGAGTCACAATGGATGTTATCCAGTGTTACTCTCTTTATTCCAACCAGATTCCTTTTCAGGAATTTGGAGAATTCCTCAGGCATCGACATGCATCGCCCGTAGTTCACTAAGTGCACTTCACCTATCGTAATCCTTAGCCACGGGTGATCGGCGAGACACTTTTTGTCTTCCCGAAAGATATTGAATCTTTTCCTTTTTGTAGTCCTGGAATGGTAGAGCATCTCATCTTCTTCTTCTGGGTGAAGGGCGCGGACCTTGGTCCGGTGCATCTCTAGTGCCATTGAGAGCATATCACGCATCCTTTGCAAGTCCCTCACTATTCAGGTGAGATCCTAAATATACATAAATTGAGAATTTTTTTTTTGTAAAATTGAGCAAATTGTTATTTTTTTCCGCTCTCCCCAATAAACATACTTCCTTCCTCTACTGCCTTCGTAGAAATTCAGCCTCCTTGGGCGGTTATCCCGCAGGCCTCTGCTCCATTGCAGAGCCTGCATTTGGCTCTTGGCCGTGCGCAACTGCTCTTCAAGTAGTTCTATCCTTTCTAAGGACTGAGTCATATGTAGCTCAGCCCTTGTGGCAGCACTGGACACTGTCATGGGTTCAACTATAGATCTCCCGGAGGATGGCGTTTTAAAAGCACACAATAAAATAAAATAAAATAATTTTATTCTTTCTTTTCTTTCGTATTTTGAATCGAAAAGAGGATTTCTTTCCCTTTTTTTCTTCCAAAGTACGTATAAAATTAATGTAAAAATTTTACACTTACATATGCCGGACTGATGCTCCGGACAAGATCCTCCATAGTTGGCAAGGAGGAGTTTCGTACAGCTTCCCTTGCTGTTTCGCGGATATCCAGCTCCGCTTTCCAGGCTGTTTGACGAGCAGATCCTCCATTTCCGATGGTGACCATTGTTGATTGTTGAGGTATAGTTGACATCGGTTACTGAAACAGGAAAAATAAATATAGGTTAAAATTACAAACCTGTGCAGAGCATTTTCTAGAGCTGTTGACTGTAAGAGAAACAGAAGTAAGAATGATACCTAACTTAAGCAATAATATTGGGCGTATAAGGGTTGTAAATTTACATGACGCAGGGCTGTAAATTTACCTTACCAGAGCGTCCTCCAGAAGCAGATTTCGCCATTGGGCGAAAACGGCAGCAGCGACTCATTTATTGCAATTGTAATAACTAGCTATAACTATTCATATTCATATTTATAATTAAATACCATCGTATTTATAGAATATACATATTGATATATATATATATATTTCAATACATCAGGTCATTGATTTTACACTTTCCGACTGTAATAACTAGCTCCGCCCACCCAATGTAATTCTTCTGTTGACCCGCCCACCCACTCACATAATCGCCGGGGGCAGGCGGTCCGCAAACTCGTGCTTTTCTGCAGGCGGTCAGCAGAATTTTGGGGCGTGGCCAAACCTTCAGCGGGCGGTACTTTCGTCTTCTGCCAGCGGGCAGCAATACAAAATTTCCTGCAAGCGCTCCGCAAATAATTTCTTTCAGCGAGCGCTGGCCAAATTTTCAGCAAGCGCTCGGCTTTTTAGGCATTTTCGGGCGTACGTCGAGCGCAGGTAAGACTCTTTGTGGCAGAGTTGTCACCGTTGGTTTAGTTACTCAAGTTTGAGGTACTTTCTCTCAGCGGAAAGTACCTGAGGGTTGAGTGGTCCTCCACAAAGGACCGTGCGGCCCTCGAAATTTTTGCATATTCTCGCGGAAAGTCCGCGAGAATGCGGCCACTGCGCCGCAGCTAATCCATAAAGAAACCGTGATTGTTCTTCAAGCTTTCGTCTTTGATTTCGCCAACTTTCTTCCAAATTTCTGCAAGCGGCCGCAAAAAATCAACGAACTATTTTTCCGGTGCCCGCCTGCCCATAAATCGCATCGCTGCTTGCCCCCGGCGATTATTTGAGCAGCACCGAGCTCGGACCATTCCGCCCTTGGTGCTTACACACTCAGACAATCGCCGGGGGCAGGCGGGCACCGGAAAAATAGATTGCTGATTCTCGCACCCCGCTCGCGGATTTTTTGGAAAGCAATCGACTTTTCGGAAGACCGCTTGCTGAGCTCTCGATTCCTTAGAGATTCAGCAATATATCTGCAAAAGATAAGAGCGAAAAAAATTCAACAGGCGGTCTCTCAAAAATCCGCTGACTCAGCGAGCGGTCTTCCGAAAAGTCCTGATTGCTTTCCAAAAAATCCGCGAGCGGGCTGCGAGAAATCAGCAATCTATTTTTCAGGTGCCCGCCTGCCCCCAGCGATTGTCTGAGCAGTTCGGTCGTCCAGCTCTCGCTCTTCCAAGTCTTCAGCCCAGCAATCACCGTAGCCCAGCAACCAATCGAGCTCATTCATCCACCGTACTCAGCGAAACAACGAATATGATAGAGGTGCGATTCTATTGCTGACATAGGTGCGATGGGGTGAGCAAATGCTCACCCTCCCTTCACTTTGTCGGTCAATCATTTTTATAAGATTCTGCGTTCGATCCTTCCAAAAATGCATTGTTTCATTGATATTTTT